AACGAGTATCACATTTAATTTTTGAAAACAAGGCCCACCAAGATGAAACTCCATTATTTAACAAAGCCTGGTGTTTTCCCAGGTGCATTCCAACCTTCCATTACCCAGCAAAGCAGATCTCCCATGTTAAATGTGGGGAGAGGGGGTCGCACGTGAACAGCTGCCAGAGACAGGCCTTCCCTCTCAGCTCCCCTCTGGCACTGGAACTCACCCCGATACATCGCTGGGGCTCCTGCCGTTGGGAGTCTTCTCCCTTCGGATCTTATGGCCAAGAGAGGCTGTGGCCATATGCTCGTACCATTTGGTGACAAGACACTGAACCAGCAAAACGAGCACTGTGCTTACAGGGATTTTTTTCTTTTTTCTTTTAAATGCCAGAAGTGTATTCATCTGAAACGTGTAGAAGACATGTCATTTTTTTCCTCCCCTCGGGAACAAGTAACTTCCGTATCAGACGATCATTTAAAAATCATGATCCAAGCATAAGGCACCGGTGTCCTCCCCATATGTCCCTTGTCACTCCTCATTCCTCAGGTGTTGTTTGAGTCACAGTGGGTGACCACAAAGTAAAACAGGAAAGAATAAAAGCAAAACCTTGGATGCTGTACGGCAGGGGCACCAAAGAGGCCATTTATTAGGGAGAATAGCCTCAGGGCCCCCAAACCAGCAAAGCTTCCATGAAACCCTAAGAAAACGCAGGCCGGAAGGCCATGCCGACACCAAGCGCTAAAAACATCCAAACAGAGAGCTGCCACTTACCAGGCAGCGGTGTTAGAATGTGCCAGCTGGGCCCACAGGGCTGCTTTCTCTGGGCAAGGATGTCTCCAAGAAGCCGAAGCCAAGTTTAGGCTCTGCGGGCCTTTGGAAAAGCCTGCAGTTTGTAGAACATACAGGCCCTGGGCCAGCTAAACACCAAGTTCATGCAGATGGTAACTCCCCTGTCATTACTTCCCTGCACTTAAGCTTCCAGGGGAAGGACGAGCAGCCCGAAGGCCACGCCCACGGCCCACGGCCCACGGCCCACGGCCCATCTCCAGCTAAGCGCGAAGACCAAGGTCTTTCTTCTCCGGGGAGGCTCTCTGCTGGGCGCATCAGGTGAAAGGAAACCACCAGTGAAACACGGGCACTGGCCCCCGGCCATACCGGATCCCTGAAACGTGCTGCTGGCCACTTCTACGTGTAGAAGGGCAGGACAGGGCAAGTTCACTGCATGACTGTCCCGCAGATGTGCCCCCCCGAGGCTTGCAAAATTAAAGGCGAGCTCTTCACCACATGCGGGGGTCCAGCGTCCCCAACTGACATTCCACAGAGACATTCTGCAGTCACCCTTGGTACTGACACAATGAACAGACTAAGCCTTCACGGCTCGTAACAGAAACTCAAAAACATAAGAAGTTACACGAAACGTGTGACTGGTTATGAAAAACAGAATACTCTCTCAGGCCAGATTTAAAAATTACACAAAATTCAATTTAGGGCACACAACAAAGGAAAAGTGTATATGCACAGGTATGTTTAGGGTTAATGTACCATGATCACTGGGGATACAAGGCCTTTATATAATTATCTCATTTAATCCTCACCCACCTGGGTGTCACCACCCTAGTACAGCTGAGGTTCAAAGAATTTAAGTGCCTCGCTGAAGACTATGGGGGCAGCAACAGAAGCTTCTAGAACTCCTTCATGGAGGACATGCCAATTTCATTTTAAGGAATACACTGTGGGTACATGCACAAGGAACACATATGTGAAGTCAGGCATGGCCTTCGGCTAATGCAGGCATTTCAGAAAGCTCTGCAGTATGTTTATAGGATTGAAAAAAAAAGGTCTCCAGTTAACTAAGTCAGGAAATGCGTGGGACCCACAGGTGTCTTTCCTACAGGAATTCTCTGAGTCTTCTACCTGATAATGTGGATTACAGGTGGCTGAGAGAATATGAAAGGCACCTTCTTTTTCAGATCTCTTCTCTTTCTCAGGCTATACTTTGGAGAAAGCTGGGGTAAAACTCCAAGCCCCTAAAGCCAAATTCAGGAAGAAAAATGGACTCAATATTTTGGGGCACAGTTGAGGGACTTCCTCGCAACCTCCCCTCAGGGCTCCCTGGGTTTAAATCCCCAGGTGAACCGACCTGGTGACCTCACCGGTGCTGCAGAGGGCTGCATGGCCTGGGCACCCGCCAAACAAAAGCAGGGCCAGGAGTCAGGACAGAGCACGAAGCTCGGTGACTGGAGACGGGCCTGGGCCCCCGCTGAGTTCCATGAGACTCAAGAACAAGAAGACCCCGAATCAAGTCTTCGTGCACACTTTCAGCCAATCCCCGACTCTCTGAGGGCTCATCAGGTAACCTGGGCGCCCTGGGCCCCCGGTTCTGTTTCGTCTTTTCCTCCACTTCAGCATGCACAGTGCCCTCCTCATTTGAAGAGCAGGAAGGGACCCAGATGCATCAGAACCCGCATCTTAGTGTGGACGGGACCTCAGACAGTGCCCGTCCAGCACATCTGCAGAGCACACAGACAAGCTTGTGGGAGGCCACAGCTGGGACCTCACCTGGAGCTCTATGTCAGCCCAGAGCTTCTCTCCCAGCCCCTGGGTCTGCCTCGTCTCTCAGCCAACAAAATGCGCTTGTGTTCTCATCGCACGAGCACTGTTATCAGGAAAATTGTTTGATTTCTACAATTGACATGAAAGACTAGAACATAATTGGAATGGTCCTTGTTCATGACTGATTTCCTGCAGCCGAGAGCACGGCTTTGCACATAGCATATGCTCAATACATTGCTGCTGAGATCATCAAGAATGGGGTACACCAGCGGGTTGCAGACCTCCGCGGAGCCTATTTATCAGCATTTTTGCAAGCTCGTCTGACTATGAAGGGTGCTGCTGGGGTAGGGCAGAGGGGATGGAGGGCAGGCACTGCCGGGCAGCTGGGCCTCGGCTCTCCAGGCAAAGAAGGGAAACAAAACTCAGCGAGAAGAGAATGGGTTGTCTGGCTCATTTATAATACCACTTCCTAGCAGGTGAACAGGTAGGGGAATTGGTACATGGGGTTTAAGAGGAAATGGAAGATTTCCGATGGTCTTTAAGTGGACAGATTTCAGGGCAAAGGTCATCTTTTCTAAAAGAGGTAGTTAAAAGCTTACATTGTATCATCAAGCTGTTCATACCCGCCCTCCTTTAAAAAAGTCATTCTCTATTTTAAGTTTTAAAAAACAGCATAACTAGTTTTTGAATAGGTCATGTTCACCTATAAAAATGGATTCTGTATCATTTTCGCCCTCCAACATAAGTTTTGAATAGTTATCTCTGAAAACATGCCACCCAGTATTACGTGACATTAAAAACATTCACTCAAATACCAACAGATTCAACTTCATAGCACCATTCCAAAATACTAAACTTTCTTTGCACCTTTATTTTTATCTTTTTTTGTACACATTTCAAGATGGGCATCCTGTAAAGTTCTGAAAAACCTCATAGGAAAAAAAACAACTACTTTTTAGGACAAAGCAATAACTCAGTTTGTAGGCAGGATGACCTCAGGTGGGCGGTAAGTTCTTCATGGGCTTCTGTCGTCTTGAGTCTGGGGTGAAGATGCAGAATGGACGCTAAAGTCTTCCTGGATTATTCTAGAGCTCACAGTGCACGTCAGTATGCAAACACGTGTGCTCAGTGGTCAGGCTCTGGGTATTGATGACAACTCAACCATGACAACAACAGTCTTTTGTCATGATTTTACTCCTTTGATTGACAAATGAATTGGGCTATTAGATAACTTCAAACCTTTTATTCATACTCTGTAAGAGAGGAATTCTAATAACACTGAATTCCCTCTTACAAATCTCCTTATTTGAAGCTTGAAGCTCTAAAATCTGTTCCTAGCAAGCAGATGTATTTCAAGTAGAATTATAAATGGATTTTTAATTCAACATGTATTTGGCTGCATTGTTATGTAAGAAGACGAAGTAATGTGGGAGTTGATGGATGAGGCTGCTTGCAGAAAAAATGTTTTTTCTTGTGACACTCGAGAGTCCCGCTTCCCACTCTGATTACAACTGCGTGCTCTTGTCTAACTCTTCCGTGTACGACCATGAATAATGTGCCCCCGGGTGACAGGTCTGGCGAAGGGCTTGGAGGTGTGAGCATGCGGTGACCGGGAGGGTGGTGTGAAGAGGTAGAATCAGGAGGGTGTCCACTAACAGCTTAATTCTGCAGCAGTTTTAAAGAGTGAATGTGACACAGTAACAGTCAGTGACCCAGGAAGAAAAAGTTGAAACAAGAAAGGACTAGTATTAAAAAGCTATTGTGCACCAGGTAGGAAGGAATATGAGAATATTAATATGCCCTGAAATAGAAATAATCACTTTGCACTATGTACACGACATACAATATAACATACTCTTTTTAACATTGCACAGAATAAATATTATACACGGTGGAGTCAACTAAATGCAAAATGACTCTGAGGCACACAGAAGAAGCATGGAATAGACTGAACTCCGATTAAAATTAAGACAGGATCAGTAAAAGGCAGAGTCTCACACTGCCAGGCCAGTGAGCCCCTGAGGTCTCGCCCCGTGGGCTAGCAGCCACCTCCCACAGACCCTGAAAATCCTCACGCCTCGGTCGTTTGAGTTGATTGCTTCCAACAGAGGCTAATTAGCTAGATAATTTGAGGTCAGACTGTTGCTCCCCACTCTAGAGTAGGTAACCCCTAAAGGTCCCTCCCGACCTCATGGTTTTGTAATGAGGGGCTATGTTAGTCCACGGCTGTATTTCCCTACACCTTGTAAATAAGCTGGTTACTATGGGACCACTTTAAGGAAACTAGAACAGTATTCAAGAACACCCATCACAGTGCTTAACAAGATTTAATGTACATTTATTCTTAACATGTGGAACATATAAAGATTTTATACTGAATAAATGATATTCATTAAGCCAGAGGAAAAGGAGGAATTTACATCAAGATTTTTTTCTTCTCTTTTTTTTTTTAAACTACATTATCTTGAAATACAAATGTGGATTCTCGTCACTGAAAAATCTTTGAAGTTGTGTTTCTTCCTTTTAGTTGTACTTTTTCGTTTTTGTCTGTACTGGTGACCATTTTCTGAATCAATCCATAGACAACCATTTCCACACCTTGATTCATGAAGCAAATTGTGATCAGCTGCTCTCCCGAAATAGAGCATGACTTTATACATACAGAAACTTGTACATTACCCTCTTTTTTTTTTGTTTTTGTTTTTTGTTTTTTTTTTTCCTTTTTTTGGAGATATGGCCCTAATGAAAAAATATATAAAATAAAAATAAAAAATTATTTAAAATCTACCATCACTTCGTAGTTACCACATCATGAAAAAGAAACTAAAAACTTTGTACTAAAAAAAAAAAAAAAAGAAAAAAAGAAAAGAAAAAAATGAGGGTATGTTTAATGTACAACTTCTATATACATCACAGCCCATAGGCAGTAAAAAAAATATTTAAAAAATGATTAAAGGAATTGTGAAGAACTGTCATGTGGAAGGTCCAAGACAGACAGCAGACGTGACGGTAGTGGTGAGGAAGCAAGTTCCGTTGATCGTTGTCAGGTACGTATTTTCAATCTTAACTTAGAAAAACACGTTATTTTTGCTCCTAGCCTAATGTAACCATTTTCCTGCAGAGAAACCAGTATCATTTCATAGTTTGACTACTGACTGACACACCTCCTTGAGCCCCTATACCTACTTCTCTAGAAGTTTCTATTGCACAGAGCTTTGGGCGATGGGATACAGTTTTTATTTCATTATCTGAAGTATAACAAGCATGGGATATTGGTAATTTTTCACCTTTTTGCCTCAGTGTGGTGAACTTTTCCCATCTTAGCATCTTTGCCATAATTTTTTCCTTTAAAGTCAATTCGCTTCCCCCAAAATGCAATACAACATGGAAAAGAACATTAAAAAGAAAATCTGTGAAAAACAAAAAGTGACCTTTGAATGCACTAGACAGCAACTTTGGTTAAAAAAAAAAAAAAACAAATTAAAAAAAACAACCCAAACAGATGTACTTATACACACAGACAGCAAATATTAATTTCATAACTGTTCGAATTAATTATTTCTTTAATTCCCAATTGGTAAATAGTGAATGGGGCAGAGGAGCAAAGATTTTCTTTTCCTTCTTCCTACGCTGGATAAACGAGAACAGAAAACAGCCAGTTACACGGGAGCCTCTAGTCTTCACTCACACATGCTGCTTCTCACTGATGTCATAACTGCCCAATCTGAAACAGTACATCACAGATGACAGATGCGACCAGAGAGTTCAGGACGGCAGATATCGAGATATCCAGCAACCGGCCCTCGTGCAGAAGGAACTCTGAGCGGTTCTCGTCCACCCTGGCCATGGCCAGCAGCGCCTTGGCCGCCCTGCACATCATGTCCACGCTTGGTGGCTCTAGAGGCGGGGGCTGCATGTGCATGAGGTTATGCTGGCTCTGCTGATACTGGGCCATCGTGACCCCATCCTCGAGGAAGCTTATTAAGTTTCCAATGCTTCCTTTTTGCACAGCTATTGCCCTCGCCGCCAGCGTGTCCCCTTGGGCCAGGTTCGATAAGAGCGCCATGGACATTTCTCGACAGACTGGGTTTTTGCGATCCCCAACGTACCTAACTAATGTCGCATAGAATTTCTCCTGACGACTAAATGGAGGCGTGGCCAAGATCAGGTCCACATTGTTGTCCTGGATACTGAGTTTACAGAGGGTCTCCAGTACAAGTCTCTGAGGCGACAGGACAGAGTTGGGTCCCACCGTTGGAAAGGGGTCTTGTGCCTCTGCAGATGGGCACACCATCCAGTGCAGCAAGCCATCCAAAATCGGCAAGCAGATGCTTTCCGTGTAGGCAGACAAGTCTAGCTGCCCGGAAATGTTGGCCAGCGTGACCAACGTGTTATCCCGCAAGACCTCGAGGCAGTCCCACCACCACTCGTCCTTGCTGCAGGCCAGCCCTTTGTCCTCGTCTTCCTCCTTCTCGTAGGTCTGCGGTGCTCGCTTCCTCTCCGGGTGCTCATGGTGAAGAAGAATCAGCTTCCCCAGGATCAGCACCAAGCCAGGATGTTTGGACATTTCGGCATCATTGCCAGGCACAAAAGACAAGCTACGGACAATATTTGACACACAGATACAGCGCTTGGCCAGAGAATCCTGCCAGTGCGCAGTGGTGCAGAGCGGGGTCTCATCGCGGCTCCGCGGCTCGTCCTCCAGCAGCTTGATGTTCCGGTGGCTCTTGGCCTGATGGATGCCAAAGGGAAACTTGCTGCTTTCTGCCTGGGCCCCAGGGTGGGCGTCTTCGGGCAGCGCTCCTGGCCGGGCAGACAGGACATCGTCGATGGTGGCGATGATGCTTCTCTCTTGCTGCTCTTCCACGTCTCCTCTTCCTTCTAGCTCTTTCTTTCGGCCTGTGGAGCTCAGAGGGGGAGGAGGGCGCCTGCGTGGAGGAATTTCCATCTTGCTCTCAAAGTGAGTCTGGATGTGCTCAGTGGTGTCCCCGCCACCAAGCTGCCAGTGCAGGAGGCCACTGGTGAACTCCTGAACCCGACCCAGCTTGTCAGATCGGTCGACAACAAACAGGTTGTTCTTTTTGACGATCTTGATTGGCAGCTTGTCGAACTTGCTGGCTTGCCTGGGCTTCTCCTTTGGATCTGCAGTGGTGTCGGGAGGGGTCAAGGCCGAGCCGCTCTTCTCCTCCGTTTCTACCTTTCCACCATCTTCCTCCTCATCCTCCTCCTCGTCGCCCTCGTCCCCCATACATTCAGCATCTTCCTCCTCTTTGCCAGAATCGTCGGCCGAGGCCTGGCCGTCATCTTTCTTCACTGCACTCTGAAGTGCTTTTTGGCTGGGGTCTCCCACTTCGTATTCCATAAGAATTCCAAAAATGTCAATCAGGCATTTTCTAAAGTACTCTACTAAAAGTTCGAGAAATCCGGACAACTAGGGAGGAGAAAGAGAATAAGAACAGGTACTATGTCATAACATCAGAAAGGACCGAAAGGGTAAAAGTCCTGAGAGCTAGCAGTGTGTTTTGTGCTGGCTTTCACATGGTTTATTTTATTTCTGGCTAGGCCAAGAAAGAGAAACTCCGTATCAGTTAGAACTATCTTCCTGAATTTCTCATTATTAACTACACTGACATTTATTTACCATGTGTCTTACTTCCTGCTCACTTCTCTACACTATCAATATGAAAACTCACCTGCGAGTTCCATATTCCTAAGATGACCATGCAAGGAGGAGGGAGGGCTTCGCTGTCCTTCACCTTGTTCTCTGACTTAGATACAATGCGTTCGTGAGTCTGATCTTTCCTGTTCTCTACCGGAGACTTTGCTTGCCTGCATTTTTACAATTATTACTAAACTTTATGGTTATCTTTGTCTCAGGTGCTACCGGTCACTCTAATTTATGATCTCCATATGTCTTTGGAAGAAGGTAATTTCAGCATTGTAGTATGCATCAACAGGGAAAATTAAAAACAAGTCAGCTGAGTCCCTGATGGATGGATTAGAATGTTTCATAACATGCAATTGTATATTTCAGCTGTTCACAGCTCTCGCTGAAAGACAACAACCACCACGAGGACCAGTTTTGTTTCCTTTAAGTACATGTTTGTAACCATGAAAACTAACAGACTCAGCACCCCCCTCAATGGTTCATACCGGCATGTTTGGGGGTGACAAAGGATCGGTCAGTAAAAAGGAGTCCTTGGTGGCGAAGTGTGGGAAGCACCTGCCTTCCTAGACTGCTGTCAGCTTCCTGGGTTTGAAGTCATTGTCACGAGGAGCAACCGGACAGGGCCCGCACCCTCAGGGGGCACAGGCACCATTTTCCAAGTGGAGGTCCAGGGATGTCCCCTGCCTCCACACACTGAGCTTGACCTTCTTCCAGGGCCAGGGAAGAGGGAAAGCTGCTACAGCAGACCTGTTATGAACATGCAGGATCAACAGTAGTTCACCTAATGTGAGGACAAGGCGAAAAAAGGATACCTCTGGCAAAGGAGATATACGCTTTTTTAATACTTATTTTTAGTTGAAATGAACTTCATGTGATATTTATGACCTTATTAATACACTTCCTATCAACTGAAAAACTGCCTTTCAGGACTATAATGAAGACTTAAATGAGAGAAGAAAGAGAAAGTAGAAGATTCTGGTTTCAACAGAAGGAACTAGATGTTTGGGCTTTTTTCACCAAAAGCAGAGAGTTGTTCACACAGTAGGGAAAATAACCTTTTCTCGTTTTTGTTTCTAAAGATTTCTTTAAAAGTCTGCAGCTAGCTGACTCTCGGGCATTATTCCTCATCTTCAGCTCCCTTCCCTCTTCTGGCTGTTAATGCTGAAGCTATTCTAAACCTAGCACCGAACAAAGGAGGGCTGTAAGCTCATTCAAAGTAGTAGGCTTTTAAATGACTGCTTCAAAATACCCTGGAGAGATGAAGAAAGGGAGGGAATATACTAAGAAACAAGTCTGACCATGAGTTCACGACTGCTTCAGCTGAATGATGGGTATGTGGGCATTCATTAAACTGTTGTCTATACTTGTATAGAAGTTGACTCTTGAACAACATTGGTTTGAAATGTGAGAGTCCAGTCAAGTGCAGATTTTTTTTTCTCCAACAAATACCTGTGCAGTTTTCAATCTGTGGATGTGGAAGGTGACTGTATGTACTGATCTACACTACTTCACATAGAGGACTTGAGCGTCCATGGATTCTAATATTCAAGAGGGGTTCTGGAACCAGTTCCCGTGGGAACCAAGAACAATTTACGCGTCTGGGGAGTCAGAATTACATGAGAATTTTTGACTGTGCAGGGGTACCCCTAGCCCCCATGTTGTTCAAGTCTAGTGTATATTATCTCTTCTGTAAATATAAACTTTCTCTTTAATTTTACATTTGTTAAAATTAGAGTAGAGGTGTGAGTCCCCTTGGAAAGAAGTGCAATACTTCATAGCAACCTGCTGCGTTTCTAACACTGATAACAGATAAAACTTTGTGTGACATTTGCGGTCATTCCCATTGGGCTGCTAATACTCATTCTAAACAGCCATTTAACTTTACTGCTATAATCTATTCCACATACACCCATGTACACATACACACATGTGCAAGGTCATCGTTCTCTTACGAGACATAGGTAGGTGCAAATTTCTAGAAAGACTAAAACGATTTGTTGTTCCGGACTAAATTCTCGGACAACCGCGCACCGGTGGTAAGCAGTGTGAGACAGTGAGCACTAGCATTAGTGCAAGCTTTAAGCCCCACCTGGTTTTCTTACTCTTAGCCAGTCCTCAGGTGGACTGGTGCTGGCTTACCTGGGAGAGATTGAATGTAGCGACAGTGCTGTCGTCATACAGGAGAATATTAATAGTGTCCAAAGCCCAAGTACTTTCAGCCAGAAGACCTGACTTCAGGGACATCATCACGCGCCATGCCTCCGGAGTAACTAAAAATGGGGGAGAGAATAAAGATACAGTAAACATTAACTTTCTATGTATGAAAGAACAGAAAATAGCAAAAGATGAAGAAAAAAGAAGTGGAGCGCTGAGCTAGGTACTGATTTTAAATAACTATTTTGAGGGATCGTTAGGCATGATCATTTCCAGATTTTAAATGAGGGGACAGCTGTACTAAGGAGCTCTGGTCTTTAAGATCCTTCTACTTTGTTGGTTAAACATGAGCCAAATGTGTTTCTAGAGGGGGAGGTGGTTCAGCAAGTCTCTGGTTTATTTCTTTTACACCCTAATAGAGCCTGATGCATGAGAGATTCAATGCTTGAATCAAACCAAACAATGCTATTTGTCTTCTTTTGCCTGCTTCATTCACAAATGTCTCAAGGTGGCATCTTTGGAAGGCTGGCAAATATGCAAATATAGTAAAAAATTAATTCCCAAGCAGCACTCTCAGATATAAAGTCTTGGTTTTCCCATGCCATTCTCTTCTACTCCTGAGCTCTGACCTCAGAACATGCTGCTGACAAATACCAGCACTTTGACAGTCCAGATTTTTCCAGAGCTTGGCATGAGCCAGGGGATGGGAAATAAACAGGCTGGACCTTCATCTTCCCCATTGCTATTACTGAAGAAGGCAGAGCGATCAGATCAAATGCATGCGAGATTTGCCGTAAGCGGGGCCAGGAAGGCCGCCATGTGTCTCAGTTGCAGTGGAAGCCGTCTCAGAAACCTGGCGGAAGCACGCGGTGTGAGGTGGCAGGTGTACTCAGAGCCCCCACCGCGAGAGCCAACGCCAGAGGCCGGCAGCGCCCTCGTACCCACCTTGACTTTAATTTCATCTACTTTCAATTTTTCTACGTAGGCACGCAATACTTTTATAATAGAAAAAACAAGCTTCCTTTATAAAGAACATAAATTTCCCTAGGCCACAGACAAACACTGGTATAACATGTACTAAGAAATTTTATAAAAATTTAAACATATGCACACACACACAAACACACAAATACATGTGCATATTTTTACATATATTTCCACACATAAAATGGTGCTTGTGTCTGTATCTCTGCTCACCTCCAGGACCCCTCTCTGTATAAAACCCTTCACTTTTCTCCCCTTCTCTCTCTGTGGCGCCTTAGTGTCCAATGACTGAAAATGTCTTTAATATCTTTCTAATCACTGCAAAGGATTTTACGTGAAGTGATTCTGAGATTTCTGAAAATAATTTTTCATTACAATCAAGATCTTTAATTTCCTTTCCTGTATTAAAAGCACTTCGTGAATAAAGTGGGAGAGCTGCGTGTGCTCCCCGACAGTCCAGACCCCCGATCGCTCTTCAGAACGCCCTCCCTGGACGAACAAGCGCCGTCAGGGTCAGGTGAGCGGCTCTGTGGCCCGTATCTGCCAGTGCTGGCCGGGGCCCACCGGTGCTCCACATCGCCTCTAACTCTACCTCCACCCGCATGTCACGGTCAGGCTTCTGCCTTCTCCACAGAAGACTCGCTGTCTGTCTGTGTGTTGTCACCAGAGCGACAGGGCAGCTTTTTCTCAGGCCACCTAGTGTTTCACCAGCCTCATAGCTGTTCTGCTAAGCACACACTGCAGAGATTAAGTGCTGGGTTATGGTCAAATCTTCAAGCCCAAAACCTAGTCCACAGTCACTGATGCTTCCCTGGTTTCTCACCTGGAGCTACCTGTCTTACACAAATAACAGTCCCATGTAAAAACATCATTTTAATTCACGCTCTTCTCTGGGGCTGCTTCTTAGTTCAGGTTAGTGAATTATTATCAACTACTGCTCTGCACGAAAACATGACAGTTTGAACTCCTAAGAATTTCCTACCTTTGAGAGGAACAGGAAGTACATCTGAACTGCAGTTAAAATTCTAGGCCACACCTGGAATTCATTTCAGGAACAAAGCCCTGGGCACGCTTACCGATGTCCTTTGAGGTAATCTTTCGCCTTTGTTTCAAGACTGGCTGCGATGCTTCCACGGAGCCGGGAGGGAAGGTGATCTCCCTCCGGATTGGGGGGGGCTGGGGAGGCGGCCCGGCAACCTGGGACGTGGGCACGGTGGGCATGACCTTCTGCATCTTCATGGAGGGCAGGAAGGGAGACTTGCTGGGCGACATGCGGCTCTCGAGGGAGCGCGGGAAGGACGCGGGGCTGGGTGCTCTGGAGATGTGGTTTGGCAGCGACGGCGGCGTCTGGTAGGACGACTGCGGCGGGCGTGTGATGGGCTGCATGGAGGCGGAGGAGGACATGTAAGGCTGACGCTGGCTGACGTGGGAAGGCCACGGGCTCTCGTGATTGATCCTCTGATCAGGGACCATCATGTCGTCCGAGCGGTTCATGCCGGGATACGGCGGTGCTTGTGCAGGGCCGCCTGGGCCCTGCCGGTTCTGGTAGGGGTAAGGCATGTCATTCCGAGCCGCCCACATGCTCTGCTGGGGCCCCTCGCCGGAGGCCGAGGGCATGGGGCCGCCCATCATCTGCGGGGGCATGGCGTGCGGCTGCATCTGGCCCGGGCCCTGCATCCTCTCCCGGTTGTAGGGGTACGGGTACTGGCCCTGCATGGGCCTCCGGTCCGGGCCTGAGTAGGAGCCTCCATACTGGTTGTACATCTCCTGCTGCTGGTTGCCATACTGCATGTTGTACATGTCTCCCTCATGGCGTTTGGCTGGAGGCCCGTACATGCCGTCCATATGGCGTTTGTAATTCTGAAATTCACAGAAAGACAAATCACACTGATGTGCTTTTACAGGAATAATCATGCACGTGAATTGTGCAAAATAGTTATTACGTGGTAGATGTTCATTCTGAAGTGACTATGGGAAGCTCCTACAACAACTAAGGACTAGCAATTTATATATTATATTTCAGTATACTATACTATGCCACTGTACTTTTAAGAGGGCTTCTCAAGTTTATTTTCAAGAGCTTGGGGGGAAAAAAAAGGCTTCTGTCCTGCCATTTCCAGGGCTGCAATACCAGGGGTATGGCTTTGGTGACTACCACACAGGCGGCGGGAACAGGGACTTAGAGTGACACTAAGGGGGACCCAGTGGGTTCAAGGATAAACCTCACCAGGATGGCCTGAGCATTCTGAGGGCCTACGTGAGAGGTTCCTGGGCTAAACAGGTTCCTTAGGCCTCACTTCACAGAACACGCCCCACAGAGGACCTGGCTCCTCAGACTGGACCCCCTGCACATTCCACAGCCCTCACGGCAGCTTCCAGCCTGTCCAGGCCAGACTCTCCCACGAGAGCCCCGCTGGTCCTGGCCTCTGAGGACAGGGTTGGGCGCGGCCTCCTGGGGAGCATGCACTCCTCTTGGGGATGCTAGAGGACACGGCACCTGATCAGGGTGGGACTGTCCTGATGGGAGTGAGTAAGACGCTGATGTGTGATTAGTGTTCTTTCACTTTACTTGAAAATTGTTTTAAGACCAGCTGGTTTAATAACACAATTCAATGTACATACACGCGCCAGTAAAATGAAACACATGTTTAAACTCCCCCTCTATTTTACAAAAGATATTAGACCTTTAAAGTTGTTTAGTAATAGTTTGGTATGATAGTATACACAACAGACATGTTTAAAATACACTTAAGTTGGGCATATTATTTACAAGGCTGAATGTCCTTAACTTCTTATAGGTTGTATTTGTTTTGGGATACCATATACCAAGAGCTATTTTTAATTTGCTGACTTCAAAATCTTGATACTATTTTCTAACACAAATAAATACCTTGTGATTGTTCAATACATGCTAACCACTTTGTCATGCGTGCTCAAACTCTCCAGCAGTAATACCAGTGCGAGCTTTAAACAGAAAGCACAGAGGCACCCGCCCACTCGCCAACTCACCGGCTGCTGCGGATAGAGGCCTGGCTGGTGTCCTCCATACGGCGGCTGTCCTGAGGGGGGGCCTTGGCCCGGGTACTGCTGCCCATAGGGCTCATGCCTAGAATGAGGCATTCAGAGAAAACTTCAGGCCAAGAGAGAAGGGGACAGTCCATTTCCTGAAACTCTACGCTCCTCAACAGCTTCTCTTCCCTTCACTCACGCACCTTCCGACAGGCAGTCTGAGCAGCCGCAGACTTTAACTTTTGGCAAAAGGGATGGGAACACCCACTTTGGGGCCGCTGCCAATCTCCTGGTTAGAGGCAAGAGGAGTCCAAGCTGGCTGGGCGGGCACCCTGTGCCTTTGAGCAGAGGCCCCGCCCACCCATTCCCAAGTCCCAGGGAGCACCCTACCGGACTATGATGTGGGTGTTAATGAAAGCAAGAAACAACACAGTCTGAGAATCCAAGCAGTATTTCTGAGAGTACCACAAAATGGACATATAATAATGGAAAACAGTTCTACTTCTCGCTTTCTCATTATGAATAAGAAATGCTCCATTTTTTTAAAGGTATACTTCAGAATTATTCCAAGTGACATCGAGTTAGCTAATAATTGTATGGATGTTAGTACTCAAAATTTCAAAGTCTTATAATCCTAAAAGGCTTATAAAGAAAAGAGTAACAGGAATGATTTAAATGTATTTCTATTAAATCACTCCCATTTTAAGATTTACTTTTTCAGCTATTATCCTGAGAAATTATATCATAAAAAAAACAGCATGTTCCAAAAAACTGAATAGATTTGAAATAAAAAAAAAATAAGCTGGTTTAGTTACTGTATTGATCTTGTAAGAAAGGGAATACTTAGACTAAATAAATTCCTAAACTAGTCAATGAATAAGAAAGAAAATAAATAAACTTTTACAGTATCGCATGTAGACCAGATATAGGGGAAGTTTTTGCTAACAACATTCTTATCTAGAAGGAAACTTCAGAGGAAAAAAATATAACTGATATGGGTAAGATTTAAACTCAACAAGTTAACACTTTTCAGAAGAGAAAACTTAGCAATGGGGTAAAACCCCTCTCTCTAATGCGGTAGAGAGCCACAACGACTTCTAAACCTAGGCCACTCAACATTCTAGAACGAACAGAAAAGTATGCATATTTGCTTCAATTTCTTTAAGACTGTCTCAGGACAGTTGTTCTCCTTCTGATCTCATCAGCTCACACACACACATCCCCACACAGCCACAGCAGCTTTTCCTGGACCCTCAAAAACACACCAAATCTAAGCAAACTCCTTGATTCAGCACACTAAACATATCAGTGGTCAAATGATTAATGCAGATATTATAAACAAACATTCACTGCATGCCACCAGGGTAATAACCATTAGCCTAGATTTTTAAGTCACCATGTGATAGCTACGTAATCTCAAGAACCAGGCTCAAACTTTCCCCCTTTGAATTAAACCAGGGACACCTCTTAATTTTGTAACCATTCCCAGCACACGGGCCGATGAATAGGGCACCGCTCTGACCCCCCGGATTCTGAAGGAAAGCTCCCCATCCGGAGGGCACGCCCACGAGGCTACAGCTAGAAAAGGAGCTTTCAATGGTGCCTCCATCTTTTTTCTTTAACAGCTGCCGACATCCCACTAGAGCTTTGTCCCTGCGCACTCCTCTCAGGGAGGGGACGTGCACACGGCTGGGAGCCGGGGCTCTGCGGTCAGGCCTGGGCTGGGCCACGGGTGCGGAGCCTTCCTGGCAGAAGCAATCTCTCCTGAGCCCTATTGCCGGGGGCAGCTTTTTGTTCCCTCTCAGAGACGCTGCAATGACTTTCCTTTCACAGAAAAATAAAGCCGGATCAGTGCTGCCATGTAACTTTCCATTTTCCTGCCAAAATGCCGTCCTGCAAGGAAGTCAGGGCGAGGCCGTGCTGTGGCTTTTCTGGGAGATGCCTGGTAAGGAGCACAGCATTCCCCCAGCTCCAGTGCCCACGGGGAAGTGGGGGCACCTGAAGAAAAGGTCTGCGAGAGCTTCCTGAGAACTCACACACCCGCGTTTGCCGACAGCCCCAGTGGCCACCACCGCAGACTTACCCTGAAGAGGAGGACACGCAGGCAGGAGGGGAGGCTGTGCTGATGCCCACGAGGTCCTGCCGGATCATAAGATGGGCCACACGTGGGAGCTGGAGGTGCCAGTCTCAGTGTGGTCACAGAGAGCACCTGAGTGCGGGCAAGACCACTGCGACACGGGACAGTCATGGCCTTGAGTTCTCAGGGAGAAGATGTGCCACGGCACCCAGGCCCCACTTTTTTCTAACCTACGCTTCTGGGCATCTGCTTATAACAAACACACCTGACCTTGGCTGCCTGGGGACAAGGCCCTTCTCCCGGTCCCATTACAGCCATCCAGTGAAGGCAGCCACCCGACAAGCACAGTCCTTATGAACTCTAGCAGGAAAGTAGACACCGTGTGTCATCATCGCCCCCTGGCTCAGGGGCATGTGTTGGGAGGAAAACAGTTTCTAGCAACTGGTCTCATCTTCACCTGAGGAAACACTCACCTCCGATCATAGGTGGTTCCATAGGGAAACTGCTGCCGCTGCCCCATGCCCAGACTGGACATGGCTCCGGAGGGGCTCTGGCTGTACACGTCCTGCATGCTGCTTGTGGGCATCGGCCCTTGCGTCATGAAGGGCTCACTGCCTCCAGGCACTGTGCAATTGCAAACAACGGATCGCGGTGAGCGTTTGCAAAAGCCAAAGTCCCCTCCTAGTCACATTATCCTTAATCAGGCAGGTGAACACCCCGCATGGGCCCCTCCCTGGGAGTGGGCAGAATCCCTGAATGTGATGAGATGCGGCTCCCAGGCTGTCCCCCCACATGGCAAAAGGGATTTCACAGATGTAACTAAAGCTACTCATCAGCTGACTGCGAGTTAACCCAAAGGGACTGTCTAGGCGTTCCCTTTAAATTCGCGTCTAAAGGTCGGAGCAGGCCCAGTCAGAGATGCCCTCCCCACTGGTCTTGAAGAAGCACCCATCGGGCAGTGGAGGGGGAGCTGCGAAGATCCCCACCCTCAGACGACAGTCGACCAGATGCCTCTTCCCGCGGCCGCCAGGACCCACACCCTGCCTGCGGTGCGAGTGAGCGCAGGAGCCCTGGCTCAGAGGATGTCTCGACCTGGTTGACACCTGACGTCTGCTGCGTGAGCCCTAAGCTGGGAACCCGCAGATGTCAGGTTATGTGACGTCATAAACTGATGTTTTTAGCTGCTGCGTTTGTGGTAATTTGTCATTCAGTAACATCGGAAACGAATGCAGTCCCAGGTCCTCGGTAAGTTAGTGCACTTCCGAGTTTGCTTCCTGGTCTATTAAATGAGACTGGTGACACATCTCATGGAGTCTGGTGGGGAAGAGATGGAATACACTTATAAAGTTAGTTTTCTTCCCTGATGGGGGAGAAAAGCAAGAACCTGAGCATAAGCACCACCCACTGACGCACTCCAAAATCAGGATAAAGAAAATCACGAGGGAAGGTGAGGATTGCTCCAGAATCGACGACATACATTATTCTTGTCAGGGGGCAGAGTGGCAATTAAGTCAAATATGCAAATTAGCATCAGCTCAAAGCCTGAAGGAAACTGGGTCAAGCCCAGAAACTGGTCTGTAGGCAAATTATATATTTTAGTGCAAATCTTAATTGATATATAGTACTACTACTTCCTAAAGGTTGTTACTTTTATCTTGCATGAAGCAAAAACTGGTGAGAATTTTGCGAGCTGATAAATCAGTTAGACTGGCAGAAAGGTGTAGATAAGGAAGCCTAATACTGGTAGAAGGTGTTGGCTTTGCAATGCGCTTTCATATACTTTATCTTTGTTTACTTATTTATGTGAGAGGATGAGGGAGGGAGAAAGGCAGGGACAGAAACATCTATATGAGAGAGAAACACTGATCGGTTGGCTGCCTCTTGTACGCGCCCCATCCAGGACTGAACCTGCAACCCAGGCATGTGCCCAGCCCAAGAGTCGAGGCTCACATATTTATCTTACTTCATCTCCATCAAGCCTCAGTAGAACCAGTTTTGATGTTATTTTCCATTTTATAGATGTAAAAACAGAGACAGACAAAAATTAAGGGGAATAAATAGCTTAATTCCCCAATATACAAAGAGTTCTTAAAAGTTAGTAAGAAAAAAGACAATCAAATTAAAAAATGGGCAAACACAAAAGTGGATCATCAAAGAACAAGAAAAATAGCCAATAAATACATGAAAAGATGCACGGCCTCACTAATAATTAAAGAAATCCAAGTTAAAACAATTATGAGGTGCTTTCCCCTCCTAATCTGATTGGCAAACATTAAAACGTCTGTTCACACTCACTCTTAGGGGCAGAGTGGGGCTCATGCGCTCACCCTCAGCTACGAGTGGTAGACGCGTACGGCTTGGGCCAATGCCTGCCACGGTGGGCTGCGCCCCGATGCCTTACTACAGAAGCAGCTTCCAGGAGTGGCAGCCCCTGATGTCCCTTCCCACCAGGAGACTGGGCTCTGACCAGTGGGCCACTGGCACATGGGAAGCAGCTTATAGCACCTGCCCTCCTGAAGTGCCTCTTGCTGAGCCTCCAGTGTCATGTGGTGCCCAAGAGGCGGCAGGGGAAGGCCCCCGGGCACCAGCCATGTTGCCAGTGCAGCCCCCGGATGGCAGCGGCCATTCAAGCAACATCCCAGCCCCCGTAAGGCTCTTCATCGAGCTTCCACAAGGGGACAGCTCCACAGGGTCTCAGCTGAAACCACGTGGGGCAAAGAACCATCCCGTCCACCACAGAACTGACTAAAAAACAGGCCCCTCATAGCGGGCGGACAGGCGGGGCCAAGGCTTCGAGGGTCCTGGGGTCTCAGACTGGACTCTTTTATCCACGGTCCCTCCCCTCTATGGGGCAACAAGGACAAAGAGCGGGGTTTCCCCTGATGTTGGTCGTTAAATAAAAAAAATCGGAGTACCACCAAGTTTACTAGCAGAATAGAGGGAATGGAGGAATGAGTACCGGATGGCCCTGGGGACAGGGCTGTAAGGGACCCCATCTCCTGGGGGTTCTGTTTGTCTGCTTTACCCTGGCACTAAATAGACCAGAATTATAAAGCCGCAAGTGAGGTGGAGTACACGAGACACGTGAGACAGAACTTCCTTCTTGGGCGTCTGTATCATTTACAGGGTTGGTAAGAACAAGTTATATAGCTACCTATGCCTGGCAAGGTAACCCACAACCACCCCCCACCCTCTGCAGTAAGGAAGTCTGTAGGCCTGAGGAAACAAACACAGCTTTCACTAGCACAGCATATAGGTAGGAGGTTGGAATGGTTCACAATAACTTTTGAAGCCAAATTTCAAATACCACTTATTATTTTTCCATGATATTATTGTTATCATATTTTCAGAGTCTAAAAATGTGATATGACCCCCCAACAGCACTAACAAAATGTTCTAACATTTCACACCACTAAGAAAAATTGCTACCTCCAACGTTCACAAAGCTTTTTGAATTTCTGAGTTTGTGGATTTATTGCATGTTCTGCACAATCTTTACTTGGAATAAGCAGCTCAGAAGCTTGAAAGGAAAAAGTATAGATTATCTTGCTTTATGTAACAGATAAATCTGCAATGTTACACTCAATGATATACGAGTATATTTTGTGGTTTAATTTACTTCCTGTTGGTTTCTCCCTGGGTTGGGTATGCACGGTCCTTCCCGGCCCCCGGCACCAAGCCTAGTGCACGTGGTGCGACCACCACGGTGCCGATGCCTGGTGGTGGTCAGGCTTGTCTGCTGAGTGCGCCTTTCTGTGCATTCACTCAGAGAAGATGCCCTCGGGGCGGGGTCCCTCTGCACTCACCTTTTCTCATGCCCCCGAAGGGGTCCTTGTTGGGCTCGTAGGGCACCCTGCCCATCACGTCGGGCATGCTCAGGCCCTGCTGGTACGGGGCACTCGGGGTCATGGAGTTCCGTTTGGGGAACGAGGAATCACTCGCGTCTGAGAATGGGTCGTGCACACTGACTGTACTGCTTCTGGGTGGATGAGATAAATGAAGCTTTAATGACATAGGAATTGTTACCTCCAAACAATTACTCAGAAAATAAGCACATCTTGAAATCTGTAAATATAAAAACTATCCAAAATAAATGGTGTGAATAAAATTAGTAGTATTCAATATTTAAAAACTCACTAGGGCACACCGTTTCTTTTCTCTACAATGTTTGCTCCAGAAAAGTACACTAGACCAATCCACTTTGGTATGGCTCGCTCAGTTCTTTTACTGTACCTTCCACCTTGCATTGGAGTCATCTGTCCATGAGGGGTGGAGGCTGGAGTAGGTGGCTTCAGGTCACCTGGAACCTCTGCCATTGAATTACTGCCAGTTGATTGGGGGGTCTGTGGACCTTGCAAGGATCCTGAGTTAGCTGATAGTAGTAAGAACCAAGAGAAAATGGGGGAAAAAAACAGGTTATCAAAGTAAGGTCATCCTTGCTGGCTATTGAAGAAAACAAACAAAAAAATAAAAATAAAAAAAGGAAAGAAAACAACCATCATCTTACTAGAAATAGTAACAATATCCATTGCTGGTAATGATGTAATAAAATTAGTTGCTATTCCATTTTTTATAGAGGTATAATGGACATATAACATTATAATAGTTTTAGGTGTGCAATATAATAATTTGATACTTCTATCTATTGAAAAATAATCACCATAGTAAATTTAGCTAACATCCTTCACCATATGTAGCTGTACATTTTTTTATCATGAGAACTATTCTTACATTGTTTGTAGTGAAAATCAGGAAAAGTTATCTTAGTAAACTATTCAGAAATATACTCCATTTGTGAGCCATAAAACACAGTTCTTCTTTTTGACTGGGTAATGACTTTCCTGGGTATTTACCCCAAGAAAATAATCTAGTATACAGAAAGTTTAAGGCAGAAAAATGTTTATTTCAGTGTTGTTTATAATGCAAATAATTTATTTTTCAAATTAATTTATTTTTTCAACTGCATTTGTCTCTGCCTCCCCCCCCCCCAACTTTCCCTTGCCCCCTCCCTCCCTCCCACGCTCCCTCAACCCTACCCCTTTGGTTTTGTCCATGAGTCCTTGCTAGATGTTCAATATAATTTAAATGTACGAGAATGAGAATAGTGGGATGAAAACTTTGCTGTATCAATTGGATGGACTCCTGTGATGTTTTAGAAAAAACTTAGGAAAGTTAGTTCTGATCTGAGGCAATGAAAAATGTTTAAGTTGAAAAACAATGATACAAAATAATAATGGGCCTCACATTGTATTTCAGTCCTTTCTCAAGGTCTAGGTGTCTGTACTTTGTCCATTAGCAGTGAATTTGTAGCTAGGAAATCTGATTTGTTACTGCAAAACACAATACTGGTTTGGAAATCTTTAAAATCATGACCAGAGTTTCAAGAGTTGGCTTTAATAACAGAGGTCAGAACCGAGCAATCTCTTTTCAAAGATTGGGAGGTGGCAGGTGTGATCAGCCCCACCTCATGTACAGGACAGACAGGTTAGTGAGGACCGTCCCAGGCACTGGAAGTAGCAGAATCAGATTCTTGAAAAATTAACCTCACCTTATAGGAAAAACAGTATTTTAAGGGCTCCTGCTTCATCTTTGATCACAGAGTCCTTAGTAGGGTAGGTGTTCAATAGATACTGGTTTCATTTATTAATAACTTACTGAATAAATAATGGCTTTATTATACTGCAGGGTCTTTCCTATGCCTGGATTTCAGCAGTGTACCAAATGGACAAGAATGGCAGAATTACTAGCTGCCTGTTAATAACAACACTGCGTATGTTATTATTTGCAGTTCCTCTCCCGCACAGTTTCCAAGGCTCACGACAGTGAGCACCACCCATGTTTTACTGTAGAGGAAGCTGAGTTAAACTGACCACGAGAGCTTAGAGAGTGTGCAGAAAGGAGTCAGAGATGACACCAGGCCTGGGCCTTCTACTCAGCCAGTCTCAGCTCCGGCGATCTGCGCTGATGGGTGGCCAAGAGGCTGTGTGTTCTGTGCAGTGTATCTCCTGGGTGCCCAGGACTAGTTTATAAATCAAATTTTGGTGAAACCTTAGCAATGCATATTTAAAACATCTAATAAAAGAAAAAAAATAGTCTTTTATAAATACATAAGGGTAATCCTACAGGCATGACTGGCCCAGAGCTGGCAGGAGAAACAACTAGCATCTCACACCAAGGAGCAGAGTGCACAGTGGCCTGTGTGCATACTTGGAAACATGGTTCATGAGGTTGAGATTTCAGAATGACCCTTATTTATAAGTATTCCCATTTACAGTTCATAAAAAAAATAAGGAAAAATTCTTTCCTCCTGCCAGAGTTTCTTCCTTCCCTTTCAGGAAAAAAAATGAATGCAACCTCTTGAAGCTCCATTAATAACGGAGGCTGGCACACAGTCTAGGATGTCCCTACCTTTTGCCAGAAGCTACAAATGTATACTCAAAAGTAAACAATGGAAAGGTTACTGAAGGTTAAGTACATTCACACACTTCAGACTGTACAGCCAGACTCCTGGCTGGGAAGATAATTTACACAGCACGAACCTGGTGCCCTACTTCTGGCTGGGGTTGTGGGAAGTAGGGTGGGAGAAGGAAGAAGAGCTGATCTGTCCCAGGTCTGCAGTGACTAGAGGTCACCCAGAGGGCACCTTTGTTTATAATCTGAGCCCCTTTCTCATTTATCTTCCACTGAGGTTTCCCTAGTTGGATCCATGACAGGTTTTGTGACATCACCTGTCAGCTAATAATAGAAACACAGTCAGCCACCTGCCAGCAAAGATGGATGGGTTTTGGGTTACAGACTCACTAATTGAATGTGGAGCTTCCTTGCCCCGCCCTCTCCTGCTCCTCCCAAGCAGGCCCCTGCCCCTCCTCTGCCCAGGCCAGCTGGGTCGGAAATTCCTGTGGCTGTTCATTAGAAGTCCACAAACTTTTATAGCTTTATTATAATGAGATCCCCGCTGGCACCTTCAAGATGCAACTGCAGCTCAGGCCTTGCCCAGGTTTCACTTGGGGGCCTTCCTCCCGTGGCTGACTCGCTGCAGTGGCCAGAAGCCTGGTGGAACCCGCTCTCTGCAGGGAACCCCAGGGCCAGTCCACAGTGAGGGTCCTGAGGGCCCCAAAAGGCTGAGGGTTACACCCCCAGGGGCTGACAGAACTGAATTTCAGACCCGTATCAGCCATGTCAAATCAAAACTGGAATCCAGACGGGTGGCTTAGAACGCTCTTGAACTATAGCCAAACGACCTAGAATTTAAGTTGGTTTAGTGACAATTTAAAAATATAACCTTGAATGTTTCTTAAGAATCTTAGTTTACTTTGCCTGGATGTGCTAGTAAGGAATGAACTACAATTACATGCCTGTGGGAAAAACTGACTTCAAAGAACACACATTTTGGCTGAAGGTTTTTAAACATGTTGTAGTATATGTGAGATCCTGACATGGCAAATTGTTGAAACTAGTTTTGTTTTCCTTCTTTGACAATAAATGTTTCAGAGACAAGTTCCTTAGCAACAGCTCTGGAATCAGGGAGGGCACTGATCCAAGGCTGCTGGGGCAGTGCCTGGCTTTGGGCTGTGGACTGTTGTGAGTCACTCCCTCAATGACCTGTCTCCACATCTGTCCGTCTCGCTGAGCAGTGTTGTGAGCTGTGCACCGGACACCTAACTGGAGCAGATGAGCGTGGCACAAGTGGCGCCTGCCTCCTGGGCCAGGCAAAAATGGAATGGAGGCTCGGAAGCTTCTCTCCGCTGTTTCCTGCTTCACAGGATTTAGCTACATTTGGACAGTGGGAAGAACGGATTATCAGAAGCGAATCTGCAATCCAAGCTCTTTTGTGCAGTTAAAATGATAATACTGCCATAAATCGGCAGCTTAAGAAAAGGGAGCAAGGCAGAGCTGACTGTTGGGAGAACAGGCCTCCACTTTTGGAGGGATCTGCGCCTCAGCAGGACATCCGTGCTGAAGCTGACATGGCCTGGGAGGACCATCCTTCATACACAAGTGCCGACCAGTTAGCGACACAAGCTCTTTTCTGGTGAATAAAATGCATTTTCAGATCTTTGCAGACTTGCCACTTTGGTCCCTACACCCCACTGGGTTTTTATTTTGGAAAAATAGTTTCAGAGCTGTTCATAAGCAGCTTGTTTTACTCTGTGAATATAATGTGGGATTTTTAAAATTAGACCTCACAGTTTTTCAGGTACACTGTAACTGACAACGGCAGATCTTCGAGGGTAGGGTTAGAGGAAGAGAATTTCTACTTGTACTGACAAATGACAGATCTAAATCTAGGCATATTCACTCCAAGTATGTGAGACCCCTTGATTAGCAAACTTCGGTGTTAGCACTGGTATCCAGACAGCAGCTAAATTAAGAAACAACTTCTTTCTTTGGTTCACAGATACTGTCTTCTAGGTGTTAACATTTCATCCATTACAGAGGTACTTCCAATATGGGCAGGTGAATGCACTGGGCACAGCACGGCCAGAAGGCCAGGAGCCAAGCCCCACTCCTCCACTCACTATCATGTGGCTTTGGTCAGCTACACTGCATGCGCCTTCGGTTTCTTCTGTGTTTTAACCAGTGTCTGTACGCTGGGCTGATGTGGAGATGAAATTACAGGCATGAAGAAAAGTGCCCGGCACACTGTCAGTGCTCAGGAAATATTGGCAATGAGCCCTGCAATCTGATCCCAGAGCAAGCCCCTGCGATGGGAGGTGGCAGGTGTGATCAGCCGCACCTCACGTGCAGGACAGACAGGTTAGTGAGGACCATCCCAGGGCTTGGAAGTAGCAGAATCAGACAAGCTCAAGTCAACTTGAACTTCAGAGAGGTCACCACCCAGAACAGGGATGATGCAAAGTCTCTCATCTCTGACATTGTATTTATCAGAATATAATGATGTAGTGATTGCAAACTTTAAACACGAACAGACAGAAGGAGGGCTGGCAGGAGGGAGGAAAGAACTCAGGGTCACCAGCAGTTGTGTGGAGAAATAGGAGACAGACAGGTATCCGCTTGGATTTGTGTATGAGAGTTTAGGTGACCTGCCTTTATTCCTAACCCTCCTGACTTCCTGGTCCAAGCTGACTGGACTACTGTCTTCACCAAGACAGTGTGCTGAATTCCCTAAAGGTGACAACTTGCGGGGAAGGCTGAAAGACGAAGCCCAGATCCCACTTTGCGAACACACAGTCTGAGTGTTCCTGCTGGAGGCCGCGCAGGTAGAAGCCACCCGTCCGACTGCAGGGTGGGATTTCTGGCTGCACACAGGCCAGCAGTTTCCTGGGCTAGTCCTTCTGACAGAGTTAGGTGGACTATTTCAAAAATACCTGGATGAGGAATAAAGGTATACAGCTCTGAATTCCGAAGTCTACTTTGACTAAGTAAGGTAAAGCTAAAGAGTAGTGCCTTCCACGTGAGGACCAGAAAGGACACTCTGCTCAATCTTAGCCTCTCCCTCAGACATTGCCCACGGGGGTGCACGTAAGCAGACAAAACAAACGCCTTTCCTCTGTTGCGTGACAGTTAGGAGGCCTCAGGAGCTCTGCAGCTGAGAGGGGGGTGCGCCCGCATTGGCCACAGTCCTGGTCATGGGGCAGAGGCTGCAGTGCTCCCGCTTACCAGGAGATGGCGGCTGCAGCTTGGGCTGCTTCTTGGTCTCCCCAGTGCTGAAGACTTCGGGTGGAGGCTCCTCCCCACGTTCCGTCTTGCACTCAAAGGCAAACAGGTACTGGATATACTGCTTTTTCAGGGAGCTCGCTGCGCTGCTCGAAGTGCCAACATTCAGGTTGGTTGCCAGCTCACGCCACTTCTTGTTTTTATTAACCTAGGGGGGAAAAAAAAGTCAGGGTCACTGGTTTGCAGCAAAGCAGCTTGTTTAAAACCAGGAGACAAAAAAAGCACTTAATGTCTTGGTTTACGATTTTTTTTTTCATTTGCCTCTTTTAACTAATGCTCATTACTCCCACTCAGTAGTGCAAAGACAGCATTTACAGTTATAAAACCATTAAGGAACCTGCTGATAGCTACATAAAAAGCACTGCTCATCGAGATTCTTCTGCCTGGTACATCTGCTAATGCCTCGCACTCTTCTAGAGCTGGTGCCACTCAGAGCCAGCAACGTATCTCTGAGCTAATGCACACTATTGCTCACATTTGGCCCCATCCCACTTCTAATTAAAAAAAAAAAAAAAAAGGCTTCTAATAACTACTTTAAAAACCAATAACAGAACTATTTTGCAAGTTAAGTGTTTCAGCCTAGATATGAAAAAGTGTTTCCTTCCAACCGCCACATGCTCCCAGAAAGATGAGCCTGTTACCCCGGCCATGTCCACCCTCTCCCATGAGGCTTTCCTGGGGTGTCGGGCAAAGGGAACAAGGCCCCTGACCAAGACACCTCAACTTACATGCCCAGACCAAGCCATTGCACCTGGCCGGCCTCCTGATCCGCCGGCCGGCCTCCAGGACAGTCACCCAGGGCCCGCACAAGGGCAGGAACCTGTGGAACTGTCAGGGCCCCACCTACCCTCAGGCTGGAGGGAACATGGTGGCAAAATCAGAGAAGAAAGTAAGTCCTGCCACGTTATGTAAGGGTTACAGGCATTATTTCACCCTTTTGGTTCCCATTGGGGAACAGCGTTATGGAAAGTTAAACACATGAATGCAACACGAATACCTGTAAATACTTGGGGATTATTCTGCCTTCACATGCGTCCTATGTTCAACAGAATGGGGAAAGGTTAAGGACACAAGTGGTTTTTAATGAAATGTTAAATTTTTGGATTCAAAGTTTCTCACAAAGCTCTTTATATTCTTTTACTTAGTACTAAATGGTGCATGATAAACTGTACCACGCTCCCGGAAGTGCTTAATGCCACTCTTGGCACTTAATGCAAGCCTGCAACAAGCAGGCCTGTCGAGTGTTGCAGAAGTTAAGCAGGGCACTGCCTGGGACACCTGACATGCAAGTCGCTGAGCTGAGCTGTGTGTGGCTGCAGCAGCCGCTCCAAGCACACCTGATGGTCACCAATCATGATGGGGCGTGAGAGGCCAAGGCCAAGTGCTCACCACTGAATCACAGGTACAGTCAACATATCCTTATTAGCTAGGCCAGTAGGGTCTCGTAGGCAGACCCGACTTGGTAATATACACAGCTGAGAGTCAGGGCAAGGTGTCCAGACCAACCGTACACTTCTATGATGGTCACCCCCAATTGTTTAGCATCTTGGGACTCTGAAAAATCCATGCGAGGGATCTAGGTGCAGAAGGGAAAGGTCAGGGGTCTGGGTAGAGAGGGGAGAGTTCAGGGGGTTTGGGTGCAGAGGGGGCGTGTACATCTCAATTCTCCCCTGGCTGACCACCACTCACACTTGGCGTGCAGGGTAAGATTTACCATCCGATCATGCAGCGCCTTGGACCAAGCTCACCTTGTTTTAGTTGTAGGTTTCAGGTCCCCAGTGGCTGGGATGGGGCACTGCGGGGAGAACCAAGGCCTCTCCTGTACCCCTGAGGTGTGCAGCACTGACACCAGGTGAGACTTGTGGATTAGATGATTGGCCCTTGGGCAGTTCCATGACCTGTGCCCCCTGGGTGGAATGCAGGGTGCCTCACTGTATATTAGGCCACCTGGTGCCCACAGTGGCTCCCTTCACCGATCTGGGTGGGAGCCCGGTTACTGACACGTTTGAAAAGCTCCCCAGGTGATTCAAACGCCTAGCTAGACCTGCAAACCACGGCTGATGCGGGAAGCAGACGCTTTGGATTCAGACCTGGCCCTGCCACCTGCCCCGAGAGTCCCTGGGCCACAATGCCATTGTACTTCATTTTGTTACAGGTTCCTTATCTCTTCTTTGGGGCTGATGACCCCTGCATTTTACAGGGAGTTAGAAAGACAAAGGCAACGGCTGATGTGAGGCCCATCGCCCAGCAAGCAGGGAGCACCTGAGGGCAGTGCCCTTCCCATTCCCCCTGCAGGGCTCGCACCTGCCCACCAGACTCCATGCTGGGGGCAGGGCTAACACCCGGAGAGGGAATCGTGGCCTTGAGAGTAGACATTTAAGGGGGACGTGCCCAGAGTCAGGCCAGCCCAGGGCAGGCACCTGCACAAGCCTGAACACGAGTGCCTCCTGAAAGTCTGCACCCCAGGCGCCACCTGGCCTCCCCTTGTCCCAGTCCTGTGAACAAGCACAGCACTGACCCCCTGTGGCCCAGGTGTCAGGGATGTGGTTTTATAAGTATGACTAGTTTTCTTGATTATTGCTCTGGACAGAAGGAAACAGTGAATCTTAGTTATAGCTGATCCAGACAATTAATTTGGTCACCTGCAAAACATTTCTGGAGTATTTACTGTGAAACCTAGCAGGCCCCACAGAACTCTACAGCTGTCAGGGACCCTGAAGAGAAACCTCGCCCGAGGTCTCAGAGCACAGATGAGGACTGGGGCCCGTGCACACGACCTGCTGAGGTCGCACTGCGGGCTGTCTGCAAAGCCAGACTCCCCAGCCCCAGTGCTGCCCCTGCATGGGTCCCCATGAAGATGACTTTCTCACGGGCTTAGCTTTACCTTTGTGAGAAAACGACCCAAGGCTATATATTTATTCAAAGAAAGTTGCTGTAAGAGCTGTCTAGAATGTCCTCTTAGTCACCACTCCCTCATTCTTTCTCACCTGGGCCAAACCTCCGATCTCTTTGACACAGACATAGAGTCGGAACAGGTCCAGGGGCTTCTTGCCCACGGCAGGCAGGCTGGAGACAGGGGAGCCTCTCTCTTCCATGAAGGTCAGGTAGCGGTCAACCCACAGCTTTCTCTCTGGCTCGTTCCCCAACTCATACACCTTTGTGATCTTTTCCCCAGTGGTGGAGGAGGAGCTGGATTTCTGGAGCCCAGAGGAGCATTTGGAGAGGGGGCACGGTGGGCAGAGGGAAAGGGAAGAAGGTGAGAAAAAAGCAGTGAGCTACTAAATACAGAAAGAGAAGAAATTTAAAAAACTACTACTATCACACAACAATTAGGAATGAAGGCTACTAGTTCAGGCACAAACTATACATTTCTTAATTAAGAATTTACTTTGACTTTAAACAAAGGCCCAAACTCCCCCTTTTATATACTTAAGAAACAAAAAACCTCTTTTACTTTATTGATATAAGCGTTGAATCCCAGAAGGCAAGATTCCAGTGACGCCTCACATCGTTTTTTAAAAATAAAAGGGTGTTAGCTCATAGAATGATCCCAGTGAATAGAAAAGTTCACATGTAATATTATAGAGCCCCCAAAACTATATGGACTCTACTTCTCCTTGTCAAAATAAGAATGGCTAATGTGTGTCTCCATGAAAACTCTCAATCATATGGAGGAAGAGCAAACACGAGGAACTTGCTGAAAATAAGTGGTATAGGTCGCCAATCACAGCACCCAGCGGTGTGGGCCCGTGCTCACTGGAGAGCTCTGTGAACTCATGGCGCCCAGTCGCGGTGGCCAGCTCTCCCTAATTAAGACGTCTCAAACTCCTCTGCCACGGTGAAGGCCTGGTAGATAATTATTTTAATAGTTTCTTAGGTAACCATGTTTTAATCATGAACACGTGCTATTTCATACTCCCAGCTTACCTATACAGATTTCCTCTTGCATACGTGTTTATATGCCCATGTACTGATGCTCTAATTCTTGCTCTATTGTTTTTCCAACTGTACTTGATACTAAAATGTCTGAAGTCGCTGCTTCTGCACACCTGAAGCCTGTATCTGAATTACGTGAAGTGGGAAGGGAACACTTTCAGTCCTAAAAAGCCCAGCTGCATAGTTTCCCTTTCTTTTACCTCTCTATATTTGTAACAGTATTGGTGTACTTGTAATAACTTGTAACTCTGATGTTATTGTACAAAATCCCTTCTAAATGCCCTGTAAAGATTTCCTTGAAACAGTAATTTACTTCAACCATGTTTATTTACTAGGTTATCATTTGCAACATAGAGCCATTATTTTGATGGAATTTTTCTTAACTCTTCTGCATTAAATTTAGCTTAAAATCATTTAAAACACATTGCTGAAAATCTGGGGGTTAAATAACATGATTGCTATTGAGGTTTGATTCTACCTTGTTTAGCAAGATGATCCCCAATAAAAGCAGGGCCTGAACAAGGAGGCCTGAGAATAAAACCCACAAAGCTGCTGACTGGCAGCTTTTCCTCCAATCAACATGTAATTCTCCTAAGCTATTTTCACTGAAATTTTAAGTCCTCAGCTCTAGAAGTATTGAGGCATAAAATTTTTACATCAAATATATAGAAATGGGTGATAGAGTTGATGTAAATAAGAAAAATGTGGAGTGGTAGGATAAAAAGTAGTGTGATCTTTTAGAATTTACGTTGATGCTCAAGCTAACCCACAAGTCAGTCACTTCAAAATTATTTTACATAGCTCTTAAAAATATAGGCCTGCATTCCTATTCTTTTCATATGACCTTGTATATTCCAGAATATGGAGTACACCATATAGACAACTGTAACTTTTTAAAATTTATCTTCCTATTCTTATTTATTCTTAAAGAATATTTGACTATGAAAAAAACTGTCCTAACATTTTATACCACATTCTCATACTGATAACATTTCAGGAGCTTTGTCGTCATTAATGGGGTAGTTATTATCAGGAGGTTTCTAAATCCTAGTATTGAATTTTTTCTTTTTTGGAGGTACTCTAAAAAGAAAATGGATCCAATGTTTTAGAATAAATGAAAACTTGAAGTAAGGATATGAGGAAAAGAGCATTCTCACCTAAAATCAATGAAAAAAACCCCAACCTCCCTCTTGCATTTCATTTGTGAAAAAACTAAGAAGTTTCAGATTCTATTTCAGCATGAGGGAAATAAAAGCAATCATTTCGATGTAAAGTCACTCTCCCAACATCCTGAATACAAGATTCAACGGCCATTGCTGGCCCAGTCCTCTCTAAACTCAGGCTGGGAAGGGCTCTGGAAGCAGTTACTCAGGGCTCAAGTGAAGAGGCTCTGAGACGGTTTGTTCCTACTTAGGGAAAGGAGCGGGTTCTCCTAACCTGGAACAGGTCTCTAATTAGCCTGTCTCTACATATTTGAACGTTTCTCATCTTTCTTTGTTAAATGAACTTAAGCTCAATGCCTGCATATCTCAATTTCTTCTGGTAAAATTAGAAAAGTTTAATGAAGATCATAGTTCTTAACAGAATCACTTTTCAGTTTTTAGAGCTTCAAAAAAGCATTTTCAAGGCTCCATGATGTAGGAAAATGCATCCGAATGAAGGGAACTGAAGGGAACAAGGTTGGCTCTGTTCCTGTCTTAGGTCCTAGGATGTGCTTGCTCCCTGATGCCTGGTCCCTTGCCTCAGTCACACTGCAGGCTCTCTTGCCCTTGGTGGCACCTGGTAGAAAAGGCCATGTTTTGCATGGGACTATCTGTCTGCCCTCCACTCTCCTGACTTGACTTTAAGTTCCTGTTCACTTGGAAACACCAATAGTGACCAGGCACTGAAGGTACTCAGGATGTATTTGTTCCATGAGGGAATACTCCTGAGGACAAAAAAGGTCTGAAAACCCTGGCACCATCCAAAAAAAATTAGCAGCTGATTAAAATGTCTTCCAAAAAGGATTTCTGTGAGCACGGCGCTACACGAATGTGGACACTCTCTGGTAAGACTGAAGCTGTGGTGGGATCGGGCTCAAGGCCACCTTGTAACCTCTCCATTCCTGGCCTCAAGGTCTGCTGCCTAGCTGATGACCAAAGCTGGTGTCTGGGCATCCAGGGAGAGAAAAAGGACAGAAACAAAAGCCTTGGGAAATCAAGAGTACATACTTTATCATCGATCAAGCTCCACACAGACCTTTTTGCTCAGATATTAGCTATGCTGTGGATAATGACGTCTGGATAAGAATCATTATACACTCTACCCACTGACAATGGGTAAACTAACTAGCTCTGCAGAAAGATAGGTTAACTTTCCCAGGTCACTAGGACCATCCCATGCTGTTTCCGTGTTGTAAAAATTGTATCCTACTGCACAAAACTGCCGCGGAGGCAAGAAAAAGGAATGGGAATTGCTGAAAATTACAGCAAGACATAGTATAGTGCCACAAATGTTTTCCTTGCATATAATTTAATTAAGTCTATAAGTGCATCTTTCCTCCAGTCTTTTAGGCAGATTTACATACATTTCAGCAGTCTTTACCATATGCCTGGTAATATGTGTATGTGCAAATGTTTATTTTTATTTTAGAATGTTTTGTAACAACAGTGTTGGTCCATAGTGCACTGTCAAAGCATAGAACATCTTTATTATTTAGTCCACGTCAGGCCTGCTATTAGACAGGCTTTATTAGGGACACTGGTAAGAGCAACTCTAACCCTAACTGAAGTACAAACTGAAGTCAGTCTCAGACAGAGCAGGTCAATATTCCTACGTTGACATATCTGCAGTGATTCAATAGCAGAGACAATCTGAGGTCCTTCATTACAATCTCCTTTGGTCCTTTCCAGAATTAGCATCTCATTCGAGAGAACGGCTGTTTTCTCATCTAGAGCGATCACTTCACATCTCCCACCACTCACATGAAGCGTCTCTTGTCCTTACCTACCAAGGGAGTCAGAGGCTGGCTTACAAATTCTTAAAAACGGTTAGTGTTCAGAAAGAGGTAATATATGTAGAAATATTTAGAAAAAACAGAAAAGTTGTATGCAATTTTAAGTATAATTGTATTATAATCAGAAAATAAAGTTAACAATTCAACTTGCTTTTTTTCTTATATTTAAGTAGATGGCAGGTGTATACAACTAGTAAGTTAAAATACAATAAATATCTCAATCATTCTTTATAATTCAGAAATCAGCAAGGTAGAATTTTTTTAACAGATAGTCTACCAGCAGTCTTTGTTTTTAATTTATTGGTCTTTATTATTATCTTAAGATTTACAACCTCTAAAATTTTTCCCTCTGAGCCAACATACAAATGTTTTTGGAAAGTTATAATTTGAGTTCTACCTGTTAACTTGAGAGTATTACTGATTCAAAAATGTTTTTCTTATGATTAAAACAACACAAACCAGGGTAGATTATGGGGAAACCCCCACAATGTTGGATGCCTTCTGAGATTCAAAGCAAGTAACACAAAGACATCAAAATTGAGAGCTGCATCCTCCCTTCCCATCAGTTCTGTTTAACCCATCCTAGACGCATTTTTCACTTCATCTTGGTTGTTGCAAAAGCTAAACATGTCTACAGAGAAGATAACAGCAAATATCTATCATTTCTTCCTCTGAAAAGGAAAATGTTGGTTAGACTAGAGCTCCTTATGAATTTTACAAATATTTACTGGAACCACCAACTCTTTAAACCTTCAACTCAATCAGCTTAAACCACTGAATGGATAATTAACAGCAGCCTCCTTTTGGGCTTTGACTAGATCACCAGATTCTGCAGTTAGAGTCTTCTCCAACTTGCTCTTCCTGAGCCATGCTCTCCAATACACTGGCTTACAAAAATTAATGTGTTAAGCTTTCTTGGCAAGTAATTGCACATTAAGGTTTTTTAAAAAGATCTTTTGATTCACTGTACAAATATAATATAACGGTTACTATAGGGCCATTTTTTTTTTTTAATGGCACAGAATTTCTTTAGTAGGAAAACAAAGACTCTATAGGCAGAAGAACATAAAAGCTCAAAAATTCCCTTATATACACATTATCATTTTTGTTTTTTTATATGACATCTGGAAATCACACAATTTCAAGATTATTAGCAACCCCGTGCAGGATGTAATTTTTCATCTTAACTGATTCTAATGTAGGCACACATCATTAATCGAAAAGTAACATTCCAAATACTCACATGCACTAACATTTCTACAACTTTTCCATTAATTTCTGGTAAGTAGATGGAAACAAGCAGGGCTGGTATTATGCTAAACCATGCCCAGAGTGTAATGTTTATATTCTTAGGTAGGCAGTTTTGAAATAAGATGTTTCAGATACAACAACCCATGCAAGATTTAGGCCAAATGCAAAACTTGTCATTTACTCCATAGCTGCTTATTAATTCCCATGTAAATGGAGAAGTACCTCGTTTTAAATTTCTTAAGTTTCTTAGGTGCACGACAAATTAGACATTTAAACAAAGTCACTGTGTGAGGGAGTTTGAACCCAGTAACACAATCGCATGCTCAGTACAGAGGTGCTTCTTTGCAGCAGTGGTTTCATTAACAGAAATCAACTTCTATGATGCACATCAACTTTATTCATTTTGTTACTGATGTAATTATAAAGAATCCCTTTCATGGATAAATTATTGAAGAAAAAGTCTTATAAAACAAATAAATAAGCAAGCATTAAAGTAGAATTAGTTAATTATCAAAAAACCCCGAAAAAAAACCAACACAAAAAACCAGAGCCACTTACAGGGCTTGATGGAGTCTTTGGCCAGCCTGGGCTGCTAATGCTATCACTTTCATCTCCATGAAATGAGGAGATGCTAGCAGAGCTGGGGGACATTGGGGAAGGGACTGGCAGGTTGCCGGGGGTTGGGGGCTGAGAAATACCCTGAGAGCTGTAGCTATCCTGTGGTAGAGGAATAAAAAAAAAAAAAAATGACAAAGGTAGGGCAAACTTTATTTAAAATAACAAAAAGTACATCCAGTTTAACAGACTAACTTTTATATATATAATAGATATATATAAAGACATGTACAAACAACACACACAAAAACACACACATATAAAGGTATTAAAACAGCATTCTTAATTAGTATAATTTGGTAAGTTTGCTGGATGCTGGATAAGGCCACTAAGCCACCATGCTTACTTCAAGCTTACATGGAATGTTAAGCATGGGTTACCCCTTATGAAAGAAAGAAAAAAAAAAAGCTGTTCACCTTATTTATCAAATAAGGCAGGAAAGCAAAATATTAAGTATGTTGTTGTTGCTGAGGCGGCCAAAACAGGAAGCTATAAACTGAAGGCAGAGAAAATGGCTGCAAGAATCAAAACCAGGCAAGATTCCTTACTTCTCCCCACCCCCAAAGCATTTCTCTTAGGTGGGTCTTGTCCCTCCACCCCTCTCCCACGACCATGAGTTAATGCCGTAAGAACTAGTAACTTTCAGATCCACACCATGAGGGGGGTGGGGAAAGAAAGACTACAAACATATTGCACAGAATGAAGGCATGCAGAGAGAAGAAACCAAACGGAAACAAAGTGTCGGCCAACACCAGTGACTCAAGAACATGGCAGCTTTAGCAAGGCAGCCCCCACACCGCGTGCAGAGGAGAAAGGAAATACCTTCGCCTTGCTCTCAGGCTGTGGAGTGCCTTCTTCTTTACCGTCTGCTTTGAGAGGCAGGGGCAGTTTGGATTCACCAGGAGACATCATATCTGCAAGACCCATAGATGCTAATCGAAAACAGGAGAAAGAGTTTAGGATTATACATGTGATTCGTCAGGCTGAGCTCCTGCTAACACAAGTTACGGAGTGATTCACGGAGTACCCTTGAAGGAAGAAAAGGAAAAAGAAATTGTAACTCAGAACACACTAATTTCTGAAATCTAAATAGCATGACATTCTGGCAATCCTGTATCTTAAAAACAAAAACAAACAAGGAAAAAGCAATCATTTACTCAAGACCCAAAACACTGAAAAGTCAACTTCTGGCAATATTTAAATAATTATTTAATAGAGTAGGCGACAAGTGGCCATAAGCCCAATCTTTGAATTGCTCATCAGGTGCTGAAAGCGAATGCTGGCTGTGTATAGTTTTTACCTGGTGACTAGAGGATTTACTGTTTTCTTAATTTCCTAAGTTCACATAACCTATAGTTCGCAAAATCATTTGACACTTTTTATTGTTTCGTTTGAAAATCTTAACCTACTGCATGTGGCCTAGCCTATAATAATGGAAGACAGTCATGATGTATGACTTCAAAGACAATGATCAAAAGTACATTTTGAACAAAAGAATTTCTCATTATTTTGCAATGGGGTTGGCTTCCTTCCCACCTGGCGCACTGCGTATGTTTGTTCAGTCCGCAGTAGAGCTCAAATGTCCGGGTCAGACACCTACACCAGCTCAAGGGTCAACCCGACAACCCCAGGCAAACCTCATTTTCTATCTCTATGCTCAGAAATTCAATCAACTTCATCTACGCTTTAGAATGAAAGGGTCACCAAAGAACAAGTGATTTATACACACTTATTACAAATATGAGTAGACATTTTCAAGTGAAAAATATGGGTTTGGATTTCCTTTTGAAGGAAGAGCAAGGCTACAGTAGGGGGTGAGTGTAGACATCCAGGGAATGACAGCTGAGTCCCTGCAGAACCCCACTGTGAGAGCCATCTGCACAACACTGGGCTCTGAGCGCAATGCCAGACAGACGTGTGAGGAGAGAGGCAGGTGGAAGGGCAAGACAGAGAGAGACGTGAGCCTCAGGAGTGAGTGAAGACCAGAAGACATTTGTATTTTGACATGAGATAAACCTGAGGTTTTATGGACAGGACCCACTTTACATCCTGCAAATGAGTGCTGGCCCCAGCATGGCAGTGCACGTGGGGTGTGATGTGCCAAAAACAACAAAGGAAAAGGAAGCTTTAGAAAAGGCTCCACAGATTGCCCACTACAAAACGATTATTGCACATATTCGTGTATTACTATGTTTTAGAAAATAATTAGTTTTAATTACAGCAGTGAGAGAGTGAGCGGGGCTCTGGCGAATTAGCTGGCAAGCTCCGTGGTGCTAATTTGCTAATATCGTTAGCATCACTGCAGGTTGAGACCAGAGGTCCTGCCAAAAAAGCCTGCCCGCCACGTGCCCAGGAGTTTACATGGGCACACTCAATGGCGCGCTCTGAAATGCCTGTTTTCCAGTGGCTGGTTTTTCAAAGCCCATTTGCAGCCCAGTCGGCCCTTGAAGTCATCACCACACACACAAATCATAATTGGGATGTTTTTCTTTTTTTTCAAATTACTTTCAATACTTAGACTTTAAGAACTGGAACAAAAAGCTTTTTCAAGTGATGCAGCTGCAGAGAAAAATCTATTGGGATCAGCTAAAAATGCTGTTATTTTTGTGAATGTGTGAAACCTCAAAAAAGCAGCTGAGAGATATTACACGAAGAAGCCCGCCTTGTTGCTTTCGGGCGGTTTTATCTCTGGGGTCTAGAGAGATATGAGTTGGTAAATCTGTACATTAAGAAAGGCCCTTTTTATAAGAATATAAAGGGGGGGAGCAGGACAAGCATGGAAAAAGAGGCTTATTTATGAAAGTCCACATGTCCTTGCTAGTTATTCACAGAGTGGGTTCAAAGAAACAGCCACACAATTCCAGAGAAAGTGGCAAAGTCATGGACACGTGGCTTCTGTTAAGTCTTTTTTCTCCAAAGGTTATAATGAATAGTTTTGTCGGTATTTATAATATAGAATGCCTAAGTATTATTTAAAAAAATAAAAAGTAATGGTACTTTCTTCATGCATTAAATGTGTTAATGTACACAAAAGCAATTTTGAAGCATAAGAAACTAGGTCAATATGTCCTATGATAATAGTAATTTACACTGATTTAAAAATCAGACTTAGACAAATATAAGCATATATATTGATTTGAAATTCTCCAAGCTTCTTCACTTAAAGTATATAAAATGTTACATATTTTAAAATGGGCATCTGTGTTATGCAAATATGAAAACTGTCAAAATTGCATTGCTTTATTATTTTGAGAGATAAATAAGGACAGAATGTAGAGAAATAGTTTTATTTAGTACTCCTGCCATACAATGTAAATTTTATCCTACTAAAGGGACCATAAGATCTTTCCTGACTGCGGCTTTTATTACTCTTTTGTTGAAATGCTTATTTCTGACTTCTTAGCAGAGTTCTCTGTGAATCATGCAAAGAGCCACATGCCTCCCAGGGCAATGGTACTCCAGGGGCACTGTTTCCTTCTCCTTTCCTAGAAGACAAAGGCCACCACTATTACAAGGATGTGCTAAATCAAGGCACCCGGCTCCAGTAGGTAGAGCTCAGACGGACTTAAAAGAGGCAGTAAGGGACCTGTGGGTGTGGACTGCCAGCGAAGTGCTGTAAACGCGCTGCCAGCACTCGCCTCTGGCTTTACAGTGGAAATTTAAGAGCCAGAATGATTTCTTAAGTGAGTGTGGGTCAAGGTCCTCAGGCAGCTATTTCACCCTGGATTTAATATGTTCACAAACAACATAAGGAACACGTGGTGCGAGTAAAAGTGAACTTAAGCATTCACCCCTACTCTCCCAACCTCCCTTCTCAGTCTCTGCAAGGCTGAAAAACCATTCCCAGGGGACGGTAAAGTAGGACCAGAAAGGCACAAATAGTTCTTTTCTTTCCATGATAAGTAACATACCATACCTTGCAAAATATTTTATTCCTTGTTTTTGAAAACACAAAAGGGCCTATTTGTGTATTTCTCTGTAGATATTCATGACTGTTTTTATATGCGGCAAACATATGGAGAACACTGTTAACGTAACACACACACAGCGCCTGAGAAGAGCGCAGGAGAAACACCTCTGCCTAGATCAGCAAGGCCTTGGAGGAACCCCCAAAACTCCCCGAAGCATGCGCTCCGCCGTGGGCTGTGCAAGGACGACGCGGGACCCCGTCCTGTCGTCCCCGGGAACCCACGCCGGCTCTGCCCACTGCTTCCGGGAAGGCGCCCTTCCTCCCGCGACCACCCGCGAGCTGAACCCCAGCTCTGGAGAAAGCTCCAGCCACGTGCTCGGTGTCACTCAGCTTACGCTTTTACCAGCTTAAGATATGTGGTTTTCATAATTTATCTTTTGCATTCTTTTGGAGAGGACGCAGCAATTCGCCTAAAATTATTAATTTAACGCCAGAGAACAAAACCCCCAACAATAGTTACAAACTACCTAGACAACCACTCCAATGGTGCTCGAGGCCCGAAACCCCCTTCGTGAAGGGCCCTAACATCTCAAGGTAGAAGCAGGCTCTCCACGTTCTCCGTACAGCGTCGGAAATCCTGGGCCACCCGACGCCGCTGGGGACGGCTGGGCCAAACGCCTCCAGCGCATCAAGCACTGGGGCGTTCTCACGAAAATTACCTGAGGGGTCTGCTCCAGGGCAGATTCCTGCCCTCGCCCCTGCCCCAAAATTCTGAGGGACCCAGGAATCTGTAGTATTAACGGGCCTTTCCGGGGACTCTGCAAAGCCGTTCTCGAGTTCCGGGAGAGCTGAAGGCACCGTGGAGGCTGTGGGGGCGTGGCGGCCCCTTGCCGGTGTCAGGGCTGACGGCGCTGGTCCCCCCATCCCAGGAGCACTCGGGCAAGGCACTTTGGGTCGAGCAGGAAAATCCATTCCTGGAATCTGACAGGGCTGGGCAGGAAGTAAGGCCCGGCTGGGCTCCGCGCGTGGCGGCCCACTTCCGGTCTGCAGGCTCCGGTGCCGGAAGTGCCCTACACACTCCCTACACACGCCGGGGGCGCACAGCCCCAGACTCGAGGTCTATTTCTGGGAACTCGTTGTCTTCTCCAGGGTGATGGCTTATGCGCAGGCTCACGAATGTTACATGGCTAAAGACTATTATAAAACGGAACACAAGTGCCATGCAACTCACAACACTGTTATGTCGTCCAGGTGTATTTAACAAGGTTGTATGTCGCTTATAATTTTGCCCATAGTAATACATAATTCTAACCTTTTAATCCAAACTTTTTTAAAAAACAGCTCCTTTAGAGGAAGATTCCCCACTGCTCCCCGCCCCTCCTCCCAAGCACTTTCAGTGAAGATAGTCGTCACATTCACAGGCACACTGGCTGCATTCTATCACTTGCTCACTGAAGCCTGCACCGCCGGGAGGGCTTCTCTGGCCCTGCTCTCTGTCTGCGGCACAACCGAACTCGGCAAAGAGGGTGCGGGCGCCAGTGGCTTCGGCTGCTCAGTGAGCTGCAGAGAAGCGCACCGCCACCCCGGCCGTTATCTGTCCTGTCTCCCCTCTCTCCAGAAGTGTCTTCCGATGGAGAAAATGCTTCGCGATTATCACTGGGGAGCTATGTCCATGGGCCTACACCACGCAGACGGACGTGACGGCGGTCCGAGCAGTTCCCAGCCCACCTCCAGAAAAGCTGGGCGTGCGCCTTCGGATCCAAACGCTCCGCAGGCGCTCGCCACCCGGCGCTCGCCACCCGGCGCGGGCCGGCCACTCCAGTTTCCCCGGGGCCTGCCCCCCAGTTCCAGCAGACACGCCTGTGCCCATCAACAGAGGACCGCAAACGCTACATCGTCAATATTCCTCGGATGTGCTGGATGATTACTTCCTATCAGGTAGCCCTTGACTTAATAAAGCTGAAATAAAATCACATGAATGCGTAGGAAAAAAATGGATAAATGTTTAAATTATTAAAAATTCAATATTTCAAAATGCAAAATGCAATAAAAAATATATATACTACTAGCCTGTACAAAAGCCAGTGAGGATAAATGGCCTTTCATGGAACAGATTACCTCTTATGAAATAACGAATAACTGAATTATCTGAATAATAGTAAAAAAACCCCCCTCTCTGTGAATCTCCATTAAATTGGTTATTCCTTAGGAATACATAAATCTTCTTAGGCAGGGCACGGTGCCATCTATTTGTTGTTGGTTATTTTTGCAGCTCTGAAGTCCAAAGGAAAAAGGGAAAAATGAGTATTGCTAATAGTAGGTGAGAATTTACTGTGTAGTGCCAATGCTCTGAAGTAATTTTATTTCACCAAGCCAGACAAAACCCATAATGTCATAACCCAAAGTCCCTCCCTATTTCCTGGGACAGTGGGGAGGCTTCTAGCTCACAGACTGTTCAGAGCTTTGCACTTTTCATTGCAAATGTAAAACCACCACCTCACTGGGAAGAATGACTGCCTGCCTCACATCAGCAAGGGCCATTCTGTTTATTTAAAAACCTTCACTTTCACCAGTAGTTTCTATTGTTTCCTCTTCCACAAACTTTCCAAGGGGAAGTTATCAGAGAAAGGCACTACTAAATTAGACCCTAGACTCCAAGGAAGGACTCGGAAGCTCAGGCAGGAAGCACGGGCAGCCGCTTGCTGTCGGTTCTGCCAGACCCAGAAACAGTAGCTTCAGGCGGCCTTTCAGAGCAGGGGTCGGAAGGTGGCGAGAGGCAGAGGAAAGGAGACGTGGTAACAGGGGAGGCTGAGCCTCCACCTCCACAGCGTTCTCACACGTGGGAAAGCATCATGGGACAGCCAACTGGCTGCTCTAGCTCGGGACTGGCAAAAGGAGACACTGCTGCCCCAAAATGGCATCTCTCACCCCAACAGGTGATAGAGGGAGCTACAAGGCGTTTTCTCAGTTCAAGAGCAGCACTCACGGTCCCTGGGTGGGTTGGGGCTCGAAGAGGTGGTTCAGGGTCTAAGGAGCCTGAGAGCACGGAATATATTTGCACAGTGTTGGGCAGTCTTAATATTCCCACAAACTGACGAGATTCTCCTACTGCACTAATCAGATGGGATTTGGTAAGAATGCAATTGAGATCAGCAAGTAGGCTGAAAAATTTAAACATAATGAAAAATTTAAAACAGTTCATTAAAAAAATATAATTTCTCAACAGAGACAATCTACAAAGAGCACTTTCTCATGTAGACATTTAAAGGTGAGTTTCCCTCAATTAAAAGAAGTACTTCAACCCCTGGCCCCATTCTGGCCTTTAATCAAGTCCTCTGAAGCAGGATTTTAAACTGTACCTCTACCACTGTGAAATGGAGAATACAGATTTTGTCATGGGTCATCCAACACTCCCATAATGGCCCCTGAAAAAACTCAGTGTATATACTTAGCAAGTCATCTCCAATGACACTTGAAATATGTCCACATATTATACACAGAATGGATAAAAATAATTTCTATAAAATGTAATCCTCAAGTCTTAAAACAGTTAAATGGACTGAGCAAATTTCCAAGAAGCAGAAAAGTAGTATTTTCCCCTTTTCACCAAAGATCCAAGGCTGGAGTGGGTTTTGTACAGGCAGAGGGGCGGGGTGGGCAGCCGCAGGAGCCTGGGGCCCTCAGGGTTACCTGTGGAGCTGTTCACCATGTTGGGCGTCATGCTGTAGGGCGGCGCCTGGGTGTTCATCAGCCCAGAGCTGTTGTTCATGGGCTGGCTGTAGGGAGAGCTGGAAGCCACGAGTCCACTCTGATTCATGCCCGGAAAGCTGCCTTGCCTGTATGAAGAGAAAGCACATGCGTCCATATACTGACCATGCACGCTGGCAGTGGTGTGCCCTGGCAGCCATTTTTCGTAACGCATGTATGCACGGGGTGGGGCTATTATTTTTCATTTGCTTAAAGTAATTTATTTCCTGGAGAGAGAGGCTGAACTCTATTGCTTAGTAATTATTTAATATACTATGTAAAAATTCCAAATAATATAAATTCCACATTTTTAAGCTTGTCAAGATTTATATAGAGAAATAGAAGCAAAAAACGGGGTACTTGAAATAAGAACAGGAATTACAAAAGCAAGCAAAATTAACTTCTAACATTTTAAAAGACCTGACTCTATATTAAAGTCACTGAGTATCCTCGCATCAATGAACAGAAGTCAAGAGATGAAAAACAAATAAGCAGTGTGGGAATGTTATTTTAAAAAAATTCTTTGACCTAAATTTTCTAATGGAATGAGTATGAGAGAAAGCATTTCCTTTAGCCTTATTAACATTCTGAACTTAGGTGCTATTAAAAACACACCAATTTCCCTATATTAAAATTACACAATAAACATCAGACTCCCATTTCTTTTTGTGGGGTTTCCTGTGACAGGACAGAAGCAGGCCTTAGATTGGCAGCGACTGTCCCTAACAGGCTCCTGTCCTAATAGGCCCACCCCTCCCCCATTGCAAGCTTCAGGAACTTATCCTTTTGGCGACTTAGTTTGGTTAGTTTTGTGTCTGCACCAAGACAAATCTTTTCACTACTGCAAAGGAGATAAATGGATCTGAAGGAGATAAATGTCATGCAGTGTCATTTCTCTAACTGCAGGTGACTGGGGGAAAGGAGAGGATTTTAAAGGTGGTTTAATTATCCCAGAAAATTTACAGCAAAGAAATATGGTGGCAATGTCGCAAAATGTTTAAAAGATTCCACACTGGAGTCAAGCTTTTCTTTATACAGTACCTTTAAAAAACTTTTCAAAGATTTGGCCACTAATATTTTCTTAGGAGTAAAGCTAACAAGAAAGATAAAAATCCACTTTGCTTGTCTGTTCCAAATTAATTATGATTACCACCCCCTCTACACCTCCATTAATTGTCATTTGTTGGCCCTTAATGTATAATAGTAAAAAAACCTTTAAAGATTCTTTAAGAGATTAACATAGTCATTAATAAAAACACCATACTAGTCGTTTAGTGTGTAGCTATTTGCAGTGGACTCAATTTTCTGGCTTGTAGGAAAAGTTCAAAAGTGGCCCATTTGAAAAGTCAAAGTATTAAAGATTTGAGTGTTTTTTTTTTTCTTTTAAATACTATCTAAGCCTTTCAGGGAAATTCTGTACAAGCTAACACTTGATGGTAGCCTGGAAAGAACAGTCTAAAGGGTTGAAAGACTAATGGTGTGTCTCTGGGAGAAAGGAGCTCCGCGTGCCCAGCTCACTGAGGTTCCACATGGCGTGACGCCTGTCTCCTGAATCAGCGCTACAGCACCCACTGCAGTTCATTAAGAATGGGCCCGAGGTAACCCACTGGCTTCTGACTCGCCCCTTGGTCAGCCCTCACCTATGAAGATATTACCCAGCAGCTGTGAACACATCCCTGCGTGGTTAGGGTTTTAATATCAGCATGTAGACAGCCGGCATTAACTCAAGTTAATTAGGTTCCTCGGAGGTGTTTTCATTCAAACAGAAGAAAGTTTAGCACTTGTGTAACTTTCTGAAGAGGACAAGCAGCACCTGTTGGGACAGTTCTCTCAACTCCTAACAGATCAATCACAGGGAGTGCACCCCTAACTGATGGACAGGTTGTTTTCTGGACACTACTTTCAAGTCATTGATTGCTTCCCACCTCCAGCCAACTTGGACCTGTCCTTTAAGACCCAAACCGAGGCCACCTTTTCTATGAAGCCTACCCTTCTGCACCCCCGGGAGGCTCTGTCCTCTGAGGACTCTGTGTCTTTTCCAGCAGTGTGCACTTCTTTTTGTATATTCAAACAACTTACGTGTGTGTCTAGGCTCTTCTAGGTGTGTATGCCTCCTAAGGGGCAATTGAGCCCACGACGGCTACTAAACAATGTTTTAAATGAATGGAGAACAAAAGATGGCCACATTTTCAAGCTTCCACCAAATTTAGTTTCACACATAGTGTAACTAACATGTACGTGGAACTAACGGTTCTTTAGCACACTTGTTATACTAAGGAGGGAATGAGAATCCAAACATAAAATCTACCAGGCAGATGGTTACACGAAGGAACCTCGAAGGCCCCGTCTAACCCTAATCTGTAATTTCTTCCCCAGTCTGCACTGTCCACCTTAAGTCACAACAAGGTGATGAATCTCTGCATGACAGAGATTTTAAAAATTACCCTTAGAATAACAAAAAATTAAAGATTCAAATGTCTGCTGGATGCCAGGTGCTGGTTACCATGGTCTTCAACGAAACCATGCCTATAGTTTTTAGGAGCCTGGTTAAAAAGCCAGGGGTCTTGACTTTCCACTGTCATTGGGATGTGGGAACAAATCACTTTGGCTTCCTGGGCCTCAGTTTTTACACATGAACATGGAAGGACTGATGATGATTTTAACATTAACACTTTATGAAGTACGTACCTACAGATACACCTGACATGGTTTCTAGGCACTTTATATATTTAATTTTTTAAATTGATGGAGGAAGGTGGGTGGAATTATGCTCACATACTAAGAAAGAAAGGATCAGAGAAGTTAAATAACGTGACGAAAGACACACAGCTAACAAGTGGTAGAAACCAAGCTCCCCAAGCCTGCTAGCAGCCCAGCGCTCTGCACTTCTTCCTCCAGGGCCCTGACACTGCAGGCACTGGCTGGGACCAGCGCACTCCCACACAGCAGCCGCCGCAGAGCTTTCTGTTTGCCAGACTCGTGTGCAGTTGGAGGAAGCCCACGAGTCAGAACGGCGCTCTCCTCTTCCTGGAGGGCACCCTTCGGCAAAACAGCTCCCTGGATGCCTGCCCCTAGGAAGGAGCGTATCCTGTGTGCTGCAGGCCTCTGGGTGTCCCAGCAGCGGAGAAGCCTGAGGGAAACGAGGCGTCGCAAGGACTTGGGGCACATGCTGCCCACAGCACTGCACTTTGCCACCTGTCTAAATGGGGGAGGGAGCTGGTCTTTCAGCACCGTAGGTGAAATCCTGTTCATTGTGGCTCTGGAAATTACTGCTAAACCTACTGGTAATTCTGAATCAGCAAGATGGGCTTAACAATAAAAAACGGCTTTCGATGCATTCTGTTGAATTTTGGAAATTGAGACAACTTGTTTGGGACAGGAGACGTAAGGAGGCCGCCCCCGTGACTCAGCTGAGCACTCCAACTTGTCATGAGGTGGCTAAGGCCACAGGGTTTCTGTGGCTCACTACAAAAAGCTCGCTTACTTGGATGGGCTGGCCACCGCTGCTGGGAGCACAGCCACCTCGGGAGTCGCCCCCTCTCCGGAGGCGGCACTCACTCACCAACTGCTGGCCCCCTTCCGACCACAAACCGTTTGCAGTGCTCCAAGTGGTGTTAGAAGGGCGAAGGAGTCAACCACCAGACATTTTCTCTTTTCAAAAGGAAATGGTAACAGGCAGAAAAAAAAGAAAAAGAAAAAGAAAGAGTATACAAACTGAAAAGAGGGAAACATTTTTACTGTAAAATCCTACAAAAAGGTAAGAGATGCCTGAAAGAGCCAAATGCCTTAACCTTAACCCTTGGGGTTGTGAACCACTAAGCTATGGTTTCTAGTGGGTCTATGGGCGCAGACAGTTTTTGTTACAAATCACTGCTGTCCTGATGCCACAGATTCCTAACTTGCAATGGTTGTGGCAATAAATGCCCAATAACAATCTTGGGAGGGAATTTGGTAAACATTAAATAATAACTTGTTACAATGACGCTACTAAGGCAGCCACTGCACTGTGCCCATGAGAATGACCACAGACCTCTGCATGTTGACCTCAGGGCCAGGCTCACTGAGGTCAGGTCTGCATGCAGCCAGGCACTAGTCCCACCCCTTGTCATTCGAACATGCAGACTGCAGAATAACCAGTAAATCGGTCTCCGGTTGGGATGATATGCAAGGGTTTAAGGCCTCTCACTCAGTGACAGAACACAGGCTATTTTTTGTTGTTATTGTTGATTTTAGAGAGAGCGGATCGGAGAGAGAAGGAGAGGGAGAGAAACATCACCATCGATGTGACAGAGAGAAACAATGACTGGTGGCTTTGTGCAGGCACCCTGACTGGGCCCGCAACCCAGGCATGTGCCCCAACGGGAATCGAATTGGTGACCTTTTGGTTTGTGGGTGATGCCCAACCAAGTGAGTCACACCGAATGGGGCAAAACACAGGTTATTTTAAATGAGAGTAACTCAGAAGTGGGGACTGCAAATGTGTTTCCCTAAATTGCTCTTTGTCCTGCTTCTTAGCCTACACACACATGTAATTTTTTTTATAGGTTCTCCTTTAGTCACTTGGGAGGTTTCTCAAACATTGCACACTCATCTGCCTACAAAGGCTGGCTTGGGGGGGAAAGCCAGAGGCAAACGCCAGTGTTAAAGTGACCACTGCCAGTGGTACACTCTGAGAGCAGAAAGTAGAATACTGCTTCCCGCTACAGTCTGAATCTGGCACTTAAAACATGAGATAAAATCTTCTAAATATCTTGTTTTTAAGCCAATTCCAATAAATTTTAAAATAAAATGATCTGTACATGATTTTGGTGTTTTAAAATAAATTAATAGCCCATGTTGGTTCAGCAATCATCATCATTTTTTGTCAACAGTCATAGACAGGGAAATGTGAAATATACGTCTTGAAAGTGAATGGCTGTCTGTACACACAGGCCCAGCAGAGGGAGCCACATGATGTGGATCACTGACAGGTCCAAACAGGTTGACCAGGGCCAGTCACAGGCAGCATCTGACAAAGGCCTACCTCAGAGTCTTTGCAGATCTACCTAACACACAGAAACAAATCCAAAGAAGAAGCCAAAGTGGGAAG